ACACATGTGAGATTAATCAGAAGAAATAAGCAAAACTCTCAATTTGTTCTCCATTTAATATTATTTCTGTCTAGAAAAATTGAATGAGATTGTAAAGATCTATCTGTCCTGTGGGTGCACATGCAACAGGCGGCTCTAAACCACACAGAACAAACAGCAGCTTCTCTCTTGCAGTCCCCCATCGGGCCCTTATAGAGAACAGGAGCCGGGATCACAGCTCCCGTGTCTCCATGGCATCCCGTGGAAGCCCAGCTGTCAAGAGTTTTGATGTCTTAATAAATTTATCCTCTCCAGCTGTCAGCCGAGCGTCAGAGATGGATGAAAGAGTCAGTGACCTCTGACCTGCCCCGGACCTCTTCTTCAGCTCCCCCCGGCGAACCCCCAAAACTCTCACAGAACCCCGAGACTCGACTGCAACGGCAGATTCCTGTCAGCACAGCGTCAGCTCAACAATAGCGTCGATACTTTCACATGCACTGCAACTCCTCAGTAAGAAATAAGTAATGCATTACTTTCTTTCCACACCGTATATACCAAGATAACTTTTCAAATGAGTAACATGCATTGATTTTCTATTTATATAATGTATTTAGCAACCAATTTTCCCATAAAGTAGTCATTTAGAGCTACACAAAGCACATGAGCTCTCTTGTTAGACATGGTTATATGGTGTGCAAATGTCTTACATTTCACCATTTGTTCACCATTATACATATATACATATATTAGATACTATTTATTGTAATATTTATATTGTACATAATAATACAGTATAATACACACTTATAATATAACATACAATAACATAATACATTTAAATATTTAATATATATTACTTTAATATTAATATTATATATAAAAGATAATACAACAATGAATATATAATTACATTTTATAATATTTAAGAAAATATAAATTAATTACATTTTTTTCTCCTCCAACAGATCCATTCATCACACTTACGGCCCTCTGCCATTTTTAGACTCTTGATAACATGCCTCGACTCATTCCATCTTTCTCTCGCGATCCCTCTCTCTCTCTCTCTCTCTCACACACGTCCACAGTGAGTCACATCCTATTATGTGGAATGAAGTTGAAAAAATCTGTTAATTACAAAGTCCAGAGCCCAACTAGTATGATTATAATGAAGTTATTTCCATGAGAACGCTCGGGTGAGGATGGCACTCGTGGATTTACAGCCTCTCCTCCTCTTTCTTCTACTCTGTGTTTGTAATCAGCATCTCTTGTTCTCATGGGAGGAGAGACCTCAGTCCTCCTTATTACACAATCACAAATGCTGATAAACCAATCAGAACCACTCTTATTACCAACTGATGACAGACTCGTGCTTGAGAGGACAAGAAAAAAGACATAGGGATGGATGGATGGACGGAAGTGTTGTTCACCATTCAGAAGTGAATTGAGAATCCTTTTAAATTAAGTGTTCAGTTCCCGAATTCAACTTGAGGTCATTCAAACGTAAATTAACCTTAATTTAAAAATTCAAATTTTAAAGTATGGACGCTTGTTTCCGCCACTGAATAAAAATAAAAACGGTAATTGTGACTTTTTATCTCACAATTCTGACTTTTTTCTCGCAATTGCGAGTTTACATCTTGCAATTCTGACTTTATAACACGCGATTGTGATTTATAAAGACATAATTATGAGATATAAAGTTGCAATTGTAAGAAAAGGTCAGAATTGTGAGCTGACTTTTTTTTCCTCAGAAATGGACTTGCAATTGGAATTTGTTTCTCGCAATTGTGAGAAGTCAGAATTGCAAGATACAAACTCGAAACTGCAAGAAAAAAAAGTCAGAATTATGAGTTTATATCCTGCAATTCTGAGTTTGAGAAAAAAAGTCATAATTGTGAGATAAGAAGTCACAATTATCTTTTAATTTGTTTATTCCATGGTGGAAACAAGCTTCCATATTTAAGTCATTTTTCACTATAAAGGTAACGTTTTTCAATTTAAAAAGTTTAACCCTTAAGAGACCCAGCATAGCAGAATTGCATCATTTGTATAAAGCAATTAAATAATACCTAACTTTCACTAAATATGGGCAAAAACTACACATAACAGTAGATGACACTCTGAAATGTATGACTACAACAGTTTTGGTGGGGGAAAAAATAGGCATATTAACTGGCGCTAGACACAATTCTTAACAGTTCTGAAACAAATTAATCTATTTACAAAGTAAGCATTTGGCGCTTTTTTATTTATATGTCTAGTGACAGGAAGGAAAAGGCCCTGAAATTCTAAACATACATAATTAAGAATATTTTTCTAAGTTTAGAAAACTGCTTTGTTTTAGGACTCAAACTGTGAACTCAATGAATGGTACAAAGTAGAGGTCTACACGGGTCCAAAAATTCGTACCCGAACCCGAAGAGACCCGTAAATGTGCTACACTGAACCGACCCGGACCCGTCTATTATTTTGAAAGTTGGACCCGGGCCCGTGCAGAACCGAGAAATGTAAAAAATGTACTCCGTGTAGACCTCTAGTACAAAGTGTGTTTTCTGAACTTTTGTATGAAAGCCTGTTTCTGCTACAATACAATGTACATATAATACATGTGAATATCTATGCTTTGGTCTCTGAGAGTTAAAAAAACTTGAAGGTTAAAAACAGAGAGAGTGACAACTTCCTGGGGGTGTGACCAATTCAATTCAAAATTCCAACTGATGTAATGGAGTCAATTCTAAAATGTGCCCAAGATCATTTAGTCTAGTTTGAGTGTAACATCACAAGTGTCTTACCCTGACATTGCTCATTCCGTTCCTCGTATCCAGGGTTGCACAGGCAATTCCCAATGGGCACCAGCCACTCTCCATCTGCACCGCAGTACATTTTGGGAACCTCCTGCTCCTCCGAGTGATTCACACAGGAGCCACGCACCTCTACCAGTGACGATGTGTCGGCCCCGGTTACTGTGTCAGGAAACTGTGCTAGGTTCCTCACGGCTAATGGACACTTCTTGTAAAACACATGAACGGAAACCAGAGCGATGCAGGCTCCTACATCCTGGAAGGCCAGATAAAACCCTGTGCGGCTCAGAACACCGACGTCCCGAACCTCAGTGTTCAGCTTCATGATCCGATCACCAATATCCACCTGCGTGAAGCTCTCATCTGCCGCCACCGTGTCGATCTTCTCAAAGCGGCTCTCGTGAGCGTAGCGCTCGTTATCGGAGTCGGACTCGAGGTAGTAGAGGTTGAACGTCTCTTTGCAGGTGCCGATTACGCCGGGCAGGCTGTTACAGTCACGCAGAGTGAATTTAATCTCGATGTAGATCCGCTGTGCCGGGCCACGCCGGATCCAGTGAGTCCTGAGCCAGTTGTTCTGATTGGGCTCCATCACGTTACACACCTGGTATGTTCTGATGGGGATGTTCTTCTCGTCCATGATGCTCACCTCTTCCCACTGCACAGGACAGCAAAAGAACAATGTTAGAAATTAGGGAAATCAAGACCTTCTCAATGTCAAATTGAAATCTTTTAGAATGCAAACAATGCAAAAAAAAAAATTGCTACAGCTCTCAACCTGTGGTTAGAAGCATAGTTTCTTGTTAGTAAGACATATGGATTTTAGGGTTGGGCATGTCTACCAAACTGGCATCTACAGTGAAACATCATGATGGACAATGACATCGGGGGGCGGGGTTAGGGGGTGTGCCCGAAGCTTGAATCCATTTGCAGAAAGGCACGGAAAACAAATAACGCGTTCTACGGAGCAACTAAAGGGACATGGTTAGCCGCTTGCTAGCGGTAGACTGTTACATCACAGTACATGAAAGTTCACTTACCACATACACAGAATAAGGAGAGGTGACTGATAGGACAATGTCGAATGATTTGCAGATACTGAGCACCACACTGACAAATATCTAATCTTGTAAAATGTGTGGTAGGTAAGGCCGCTCCATAGTATAGAGTCCGTGTGATCGCGAATCTCGAAAGTGAAAGTGAAAGTAAAATGAGCACGCGCATTCGAAAGCGGTTTCAATGCCCTGCATATTAGTTGCGTCTCCCTGATGCCCGCAATTTATATACAGTATAATTACCCAACGATATAATTGCGAGAGAAAGTATTGAAATATTTTTTTTAATCCTCCCATCTCGTAGACTATTTATTCCCTTTAGCGGTTCCGTAGTACACTTAATTTTCTTTCCGAACACGGAATTGGGATGCGGCGGATTGGGGGGGGGGGATCACAATGCCGGCTCAACATCGTGATGTCTGTCTATCGGCCCAACCCTAATGGATTTAAATAAATTATGCTCTTGGGCACAATATATTTTAGTACGTCCTCAATAAGCACTGTGTGCATGTGGATAATGCTAAGGGGGAACCCTGGAGTATGACGTAAACAGTGTGGGAGCCCCATAATTGGTCATTTGTTTTGTGTGGATATTTTCATACAGTCATTATATTCATTAAAATCGTTCATTTTACCATGGAGAATAAGCCGAGGGTAACAGTTGCTTCACAACTAATCTGAAAGTTCAGTGCGACTGCCACTAGGGGGAGAAATGCGACAATCGTATCCTAATGTCGAAGACAGTGGAAAGGCAGCTTAATGTTCAATACAGCAGTATCTCAGAACTCGAATCAATTAATTAGCAGAAGTTATTACTCCACCACATGCGTGTGACGTCATTAACAACGGCCCTATATTGTTGAACCAATGTGGTTCAAACGACGGAGATGCGACCGTGTTTGGGAAACAGTTGTGACTGGCTAGTTAGTTTCCACAACAATGCATCATACTATAGTGGTTAATCAGCGAGTAATGTTGTCCGATGAGTCCGATTCACAAATAAATGACTCTTTTACATTGGTTCTTTTTAGAGAAACAGAAACAGCGCAAGCGATTCCATTCACGAACAACTGACTCGAATGATGAGCTGGTTCTTTTACTCACGAAAAGTCAAGTTCCTTTTTTAAAATAAAGATAGAATAAATAAAACGTGGCAAACTACAACACTTCTCAGCCTCTGCTAAACCAGCATTGCAGCAGCTGATTGGACTCATTGAGTTTTCATCATCTAATCAGCACTTATGATTTGTATTAAAGCAATTGAACACCATATAAACACAAATTTAAATGTTGATACCCAAGAGTCTGAACGGGAAATATCGCATCTTATCTTAGACTACCATTCAAAAGTTTGGTATAATAAAAGTCTTTGAGATAAGTCCCTTATGCTCAGCAAAGTTGCATTTATTTGAGCAAAAATACAGTAAAAAAACAGTAATATTGTGAAATATTATTACAATTTAAAATAGCAGACTTTTATTTGAATATATTGTAAAATGTAATTTATTCCTGTGATCACTGATCAAAGCTGAATTTTCAGCATCATTACTCCAGTCTTCAGTATCACATGATCCTCAGTCAGATATCATTCTAATATGATTCAGTTCCATTAAACTGTAATAATATCTTACAGTATTACACTTTTACTGTATTTCTGATCAAATAAATGCAGCCTTGGTGAGCATGAAATTATTCATTCGTAATTATTCCAAATTTTTGACCAATAATGTATGTGCATTAATAATTTGCCTTTGACCATGAACTACATACACATTTATTCATTTAGCAAATGCTTTTATCCAAACTGATTACAAATGAACACATATCAGTTAACAGGCACAGACTGATCTACAAATTTACCAAATTATTAATTTGCAATTTTTAGAACGCAAAAAAAAATCTGTTGAAAAATTATTGTGTGTGATATCAGCAGCCACGGTCCCACTAAGATCATCCTGACGGCCCTGAATAATCTCCAGGAATTATTCAAAGTGCGCTAAAACTAATTGAGCATTTCTGAGATAATAAGACTGACAGCAATCTGGTGTCTGTCAGGGAGCGTGATCGTCTCCGTTCGGCTCGTCCCTTCATCTGTGTAACTACGTAGGCCCAGAGGAGCAGCGCAGAGATAAGAACCCAGAGCTGCCGATAGCGGGACGAGAGGAGAAAGGAGCTAATTGGCCATATTAAAGTCTGAATACCCGCCCACCATCCGTGCCAAAGGCCTGTCCATCACGGAGAAGATCACAGAGGCAGAGGAACTCAGGAGCTCAATGAGACTTGGATCGATGCGAAAGGAAGCCGAGCTGCTCCGGAATGAAAGGGGATTCTGTGTGTTTTATTGAATGGCTGATGTGGTCATTTAGATGCACCTGATCTGAAGATGTTAAATGGCTAATTGGTGATGAGGGGCTCCAAACAGTGCAAAAGCATACATTATCGGACAGAACCCGCTGACCCCCTCGGTATAAAATCTCACACACACACACACACACACACACACACACACACTCAAACAGACCTTTTCTCTGCCTCTGGGTTGCCAAGTCTCGCCCCCTACCTCTTTTGAGAGAAAAGGGATAGAGTTTCCTAACAAAGGGCATTTCTGTCTCCCTCTACTATTTAGGAAATTTGACGCCCGTCGCTGTAACCTAGCTTTCCAAATTTACATCCCAGAGAAGTGGACAGGGTAGGCTGATCTCACTTGTATTTGTAGGTATTCATACGTGACATGAACATTTTTAGAAGCTGAAACGGACAATATCAACATACTGACAGCATCTAAAATATAAAATGCTTTTAGATATGAGATGTAAACAAACTTGAGGCTCTCTGAAGACCTGAACCAAAATTGTGAGGGTACACTGAGAATTTTTTTTTAATGGCAATGCTATAGAAGAACTATTTTGGGTTCCAGCAATGGGATGAAAAAATAAAAAAGTTTTTGCAAGTTTTTATCACACAATTCTGACTTTTTTCTCTCAATCCTGAGAAATTACTCAGAATCGTGAGATATAAACTCAGAAGTCTGACTTTTTCTTCACAAATCCAAGTTCACATTTCACAATTCTGATTTTTTTTCACAATTCTGAGCAAAGACTGTCCCACTTTTTTTGTTTGCTCCACAGAATAAAAAACAAAAAAGGTAATTACATGCGACTTCTAACAATTCTGACTTTTTTCTTGCAATTGCAAGTTTATATCTCACAATTCTGACTTTTTATCTTCTGAAAATTTATAATTGTGAGAAAAAAGTCTAAACTGTAAACTATAAAATCAGAACTGAGAAATAAAAATCTGTTCACAATCACAATTATGGCAGAAACCTTCCATACCTTTAAGTAAATGCTTCTTAAAATAACCATTTTTTAGTGTGAAGAACATTTTAATAATCAGAAGAACTTTTGTGCAATAAAAACGTTACATGAATGTTTCTTTGTGGAACCTTTGATGCCAATAAAGAACCTTGATTTTTAAAAGTGTACCACCAAATTTAATACTCAAACACAATCCTATGGCGCTTCTCAGTAAATAACGGCCTAAAAAGACATTAGTAATGGCAAAATTATTTATAAATGAACTCCAGATGGGTCTAATAAAAATAAAGTCACCTGCACTCTTTGTATGGCTGAATTTAATTATCATCAAAGCAGAACAGAACGAAACTGCTATAATGTATAATTAATTAACTTTATATATGCGTTAAATAAATGTGATGGTGTTAAACACCTTTAAATCCATGCCATTTATTAGAAATACAATGCAATTAACCATGAATTTAATATTATATGGATCTCAGTTCATTTGTAATCATTTGTACGTCCTTAAAGGCTCTAGGTTTTAGATGCTTTTAGATGCGGTATCAATCTAAACGTATGAAACTGTGCTCAAACTATACGTTTGAATACTAATGAGGTCAAGCTGGAGAAAGAGGGACGGAGAGATGGTCTCGACTCACCCCTCCTTCCGTCGGGCTGGCGACCCATGCCAGATCTCCCTGCACTGATCTGGAATCCAGCAGCGTGACTGAAGGAGAAAAACACAGAGGACCTGAGAATGAGATCACTAAAGCCTGTGCATCTTACCCACAGTGATAAAACTGATGCTAGGATGAAAGCTGGATGGCATAAATCTCTGATAAATAATGACAACCGCTGCAAAGGTGTCTGAAAAGTGACAGACAAGTGCACGGGGTTTGATCAAGCGCTGAACTGAGTAGGGAATTATGGCTAATTATTACAAATATTAATTAGCAAATTAACCAAAATGTAAAGAAAAGTGTGTTGTTTTCTTAAAAATTAAGCAAACACTGTTTTGTCTTATATAGTAATGCATTAAAAAAGCCCTCCAGGCTTCACAAGAAAGCCTAAGGCCAACAAATCATCTTCAAGTTAAATACAAAGCCTTTACAGTAAATTATAAAGCCTTATACAGTCTTTATGATGTTTGACATTATATGTAGGCTATTGTTTATATTTCCAGATAACAAATTATTACTATTGCATTCTTGTGATAAAAACGCCCAAATCATTTTAAAGTTAAAACTAAAGATTTGAGACATTATACATACTAATTAGGGGAAGGAAGGATAAACAAAATAGTGAATAATTATATATCTAAAATGTAAAATGTGAATAATAAATATGTGGCATATCTCTATGTATTAATTTCCTTTTTAAGCTGCTAAAGTGACAATTGCCCTACATTATTTATGTTTCCAGACATCAGTTGCAACAAGAACTTATTATATTACAAAAAGCCTTTGATAATGTAGGTAAAATGATAAGGAGGCTTCTTTCTGAAGTTTTTTCTGGAACTGGCCGCAGATCGCCACTGTTTGTATTTGCGCGTCTTTCACTCTGCGCCCGAAACTTTTCCTCTTTACTCAAACCCCTCTCACCTTCATTCGCCGGATGATTCCTTGGAGCGGAAAGACCTGCACAAATCCCCAGGAAAAGCGAGGTGAGAGCGTAAATAATCCCGGCCATGAGCGCCATTCGTCCCGTTACTGTCTCTCCGTTAATCCTGTTTATTCCTCGCGCTGCTCCGCGCGACTGATCTGGAGGCGCTCGAGACGCGCGCTCCGCGAGCTCTGCTGGAGGGGGCGTGGCATTCTCTGGTGACGTGCCTGCCAATCAAGAAAGAGAGTCGCGATCAGTTATTAAAATTATTATTCGTAATAGAATTAGTATTTTTTTATGTTTGAAGGTATTGAAAAAGGAGTTTAAAATAGTAGTGTTGGACACAAAACGCAAATATTTATAATTTAAAAAACATTTAATTAGATATAGCCCATATGTTAAATAATGATATAATAAGATATAATATGATTATTATAGCATTTCGTTTTTTATTCCAACCTTCGTTAATAAACAGCAATTATAATTTATGATGAATCACACACACACACACACACACACACACACACACTTATTCCATTACAATGATGATATAATTTTAATCTTCATTTTATAGGCCTATTGTTGTTTAAATATATGAAATATTATTAAAAAAATAGTTTATTGGTTGAAATATTAATCTAATAATATGAAGAAAATATTTGCTACAAATATTTCAGTATTATTATTATTTTTATTATTATAAATAGTAGCAGTAAAATAATGAATAAAAGTGATTACTTACGTGTAGCCTATATGTGTATGCATAGCCTAATATTTTGTCATCTAACTGAGATTAATAGATCAGGCTATTTTAATCATTTTAATTATTGTTTAAAAATATTTAAAAAGTACTAAAATAGTATATAGTTTAAAATATTTATCGAATATACCATGCACTATTTTAATCTTTTTATATTTTTAAACATTAATTAAAATGATTAAATGTTTAAAAAGAATATTAAAATGTGATAATGCTCATAAAGAATAAAATTATAAATAACAAAGTATTCATTAAAATATTCATTATTATTATTATCATTAATGTTGAGCAGAAAAGGTAGATAATTTTGAGACCGCTGAATTATGGACTGATCTTGTTTCGCCATCTAGCGTTCATTTCTCGACACAACTGGCAAAATTAATAGCATAATGTCTTTCTGAACAGCGGCAAATCCACCGTGACGCGCTCGCGCTGTTGCTTCATTTCTTTCATCCAAACTCGAGTGGGTGATGTGCCACATCAAGACACAAATAAAAGAACCCAATGTGTCGATATTTAGCTGTTTGTGAGGTGAAAGGACACATTCTCAGGGCATCTGTTGGGACTCAGTACAGTATCCTGGGGGTTTACAGAAGCGACCCGGGGCGTTTTATTATACACCTCATTTTTCAGTTTTACGTTCATCTCACTATGAATTGAAATGTTCTTATTGATTGAATTCCACCTGACACCTGGCTTGCCTCATGCATCCGGATGCTTCTGCCCTCATACAGTCTCTCTCTGCCGGTGTTCCTCAGGGTAATATGCTGTGGGAGATGTTTCATCTCCAGCTGACTGAATCCAATAGTTTCAATGAGTGCAGTCCTGACCTCCATTGAGAGGGTCAGCCTGCAGCGGGTCTGAGGCGACGGGGCCCCGGGGAGCCTGTGGGTGTGGATGAGGACCAGCTGTACCTTCACCACAGACTCAGTGTGTGTGTTCAGGTTTGATTGACAGACTCGTCCTGGATGAAATACATTTACCAGCACCAGACTGACAGTTCAACAGCACATTGAGAGGTGAATAGATTTTATTAGAGTGGTAGAAGCGGTCTGCAGGACATTTGTTCTTCTCAACAGTGTAAAAAGGAGTATGTTTTACAAGAAAATACTATGTAAGATTTTCTACTTCAAAATTTCATATTTAATTCATTGTTACTTGCTGTTTGTTTGTAAATGTTTGTGAAATTTACAGGCAATTTCTGAGTGAAAATAGTTTACTATTTTTGTATGTGTGTGTGTGTGTGTGTGCACGCGTGTGTGTGTGTGTGTGTGTGAATATCACACAAGATGGAAACATGAAGCTGCGGGAATTTAAAAAATAGCCTATATTTTTCATTTGTAATTTCAATTTGCAAATGTAATGTATTATTTAAAATTTAAAAAATTAAATAATATCTAAATATTTTTATTTGATTAAAACAAAGTGATTATATAATTTAATAAAAGTGATTATATAATAAGTAATGTTTTAAAAATACTATTACTTTAAATACTATTACAAATTTGTTATTTAAAAATAGGCCTATACAAATTATTATTTTCAATGTTATTATTATTATTTTTGCTGTTGTTGTGAAAAATTGTAGTATCAGCACTACACTGACAGTCCCACCAAGTGAATATATTTTAATAAACCTGATGCTGATTGTATTGTAATTATTGAAATATGATTTCAACATTTGCTGTGTGTCAAAAATGTTCTTTATTATCTGCAGTTGTGAGGTCGCAATCAGGGATGGGCAGTATTTCAGATACATGTATTCAAAATATTTATTTGAAATACAAAATACTATTTTGTATTTTAAAGCCTTTGGGGAAAAAATCTAATGAAATTTGTATTTAAATCCATTTAAGATTTGTATTTTTGTATTTTTAAAAATACATACAATACTTTGTGCCTGTCAACCTCTTTATCAGGGTGCTGATTTTGTGCATCAACTAGTTCAAACACATCCCCTCCCCCAACCCCAACATCCATCACATGAGCTGCAGCTGTACAATTCCATTCAGCATTGAGTGAGCGACTTTTCTGGAATAAGATGAGGTGAGGATGTCATGGTCAGTTGTACTTGTTTATTAAAGTTAAAATAGTGAATTTTCAGATTTGCCTTCAGTTAACATGAAAGAAGAAAAGCACTGACAAGGGAAATAAATAGCGTTAGCCAATCAGTTTTGATAGTTAATCTGTTGTTGTTTTTTTTATCAATTAGCTTGTCAAATGTGTTTAAAGTATTATTGCATGTTAGGGCTGGGTGATATGACAATACATATCGTGGCGATGATATAAAGTGTGAATAGTTCAGTCAAGTGTGAATTGATTGAACATTTTCTAAATCATTTACATAGAAAAAGGCCTATTGGGGTAAGCAAATATATCCGTGCAGCTTTTAGTGTGAAAATGTTGGAGTGGAAAAAGAAGCATGGACGAATGGTTGAGTAACAGAGTGTGATGTGCTTGGTGCAATCACACTTCTTATAAGTGTAGTATGCACGAAAGGAAATTCAAGTTCACACTCGCACGTTGGCAGGCAGTTTTTTGTGCGCGCACTCCGAGACAGACTACACTTCGGACTAAAGGCCCTTTCACACTGGAGGCAGCAGGCGGTGGAGTCACTGCTTATAGGCTTAGATCTCTGCCACAATTCTGCGCGCGAAAGATCATATTTTGAGCGCACAAAAGTGCATGCATTAGGTGAGCAAGCTAGTGGAACGTCGCACGCGCAAAAGAGAAGGTCTGCACACATCCAAAAACTTATTTTAAATGCAAAATTGATTTTCGTGCGCTCGAAATACTTTTTTCTTTGCGAAACGAACGTTTTCTCCACAAAACTCACGCACTTTTGCGCGCTCAAAATATGATCTTTCGCTCGCAGAATTGCGGCAGAGATGTAATCCCATAACTGCTCAGCTGCCGCTTTCTCTCGTAGTGGAAGCGTTTTGTGCTGTTGAAGCCTTGTTCATACTTTATGGAAGGCCAAAAGGGCCAAAAACGCGAATTTTCACGCGTCTATAACGTGTTACTTACGCGTCGATTACGTGGAAATTACGTGCCGATTTTTCACGCGTAAACAACACGTTCTAGACGCGTTAAAATTTGCGCGTTTTGGGCCCTAACGGCCTTCAACAATACTTTGCCTGCCACTACACCGCGAACCTGCTGACGGTGCGCACTCCTCCCTAAACAGACGCGGCTTTTTTGACACTTTTTTCACTTGCTCGCGGTTGTATAATTCTGTGAAACTACAGGGCGACTCGGAGTATATGTTCTCCAATCCATCGGAAAGCAGCGGTGAGAGGAAGTAGTTTGTCAAACAATTATTTCTTGAGAAGTTTATGAATAATGATATTGATTGAACAATACTGATTATTGATTACATTACTGATACAAACACTGATGAATGGTACACCACAAAAAAATCTTCAGTTTTTGGTTTTATTGTTCATCAAAAAATAAATAAATTAATTAATCTAAGTATCATCTAAATCTGTGCTAATATATATAAGTAGCATTTCATCTTCATGCCACAGCTTTTAGGTGAAAAAATAATGGAAGGATATCATAGTTAAAAGAGACATGGGCACTCCATATGACTGAATAATGCGTATAATGAGATAATAGTTAAACCACAAATGATGCTCAATAAAATGTATTTTTATTCACTCCAGCAGTAAGCAGACATGCTAACATTAGTTTACTTTAACAATACTTGTCATCTAATAAAGCATGCAATATCAAAATGTATGCTTTTTACAAATGATTGATTTTATTTGCCAATTTTAATGTTTACTGCAATTAAAACAGAAAAAAATCCTCAGCTTAATAAAACTTTCTATATGTGAGGAAAGCAACTGTCAAGCATTACTCTTCTTACAGGCCATTACATTTAGCTTTGTTTTTCTCACACTGATAATATGGCAAATCAGGTGCAACTTCCTTCAGTCTCTTTATTACATCCTCCTTTTTATCATGTGTCCAAATTTTTTTAAATGCAAAGGCTTTAATACCCACATATTTTTCTAACAGTACAAGACTGTCTTTAACGCTGTATGGCCCAGATTCTGCTAGGCATGTTTTCAAACAGGGTGAATTTACAGTGAAAAAACCCACACATTCATTTTCATCCTTCAAGATGTTCTTCAGATAATTTTTCAGGCGAAACTCTGAATGTTCTTTTCCATTCGGATTTGCAGCAATGAGGTCATCGCTCTGGTAAACCTCTTTCAGCTCAAGTTTTTCTTTCACTTTAGTTAGTAAGTCCTTGCTTGGATAGTCAGAACCTTTAAGACATTTGTCCTTCTCAATTCTGAAGGCGACAGCGTATTGTCCCGTGTTACCCAACCTGGAAATTACAAAGCAGTGGGAATGT